AAAAAAAATAGATCATAACTAAATTTATGCTATTTTTAAGCTAAAATTGTTACATAAACTCTACAGCTTAAGAGATATTATTGTATAGCAAAGGTACAAATACTAACCTGTATACACTAATTGAAAATATAAGTTGCAACTCTTTTATAAATCGATAACGTTTCATAACATCAATTGGAAGAAATTGCTGAATATTAGCATGTTTATAAATTTGCTTTTCAAATAAAAAATCGTCTAATTCAATATAGTTATCTTTAAGTTTATTATGTTCACAGGCACCAATTCGGTACATAATACTGTCATTTTGAAAGCTGCAAGCACTTTTATCACTATAATGAAGTTCATTCATGCTAGTAGTAGTTGCAATTAAATAATTGGAATAATTTTTTAAGACTTCAATTAAAGAAAGAACTGCGAGCATTACTTTATTCCATATATCACCACTCGCCCATGGCTGACTAATAGAAAGCTCAAGAGAGCTCGAAAGATGTGTAAGTTTTTGCTGAGAAAGTTGATTTTTTTTATGATAACTAGTATAATAGTAATTGTTGTAGGATTCATCATTTTTATATGTTTTTAACTGTGTGAAGAGAGTTGGCAAGTGGTATGAACGTGCTTTTAATGTCAAAAGATGTGGATCAATATACCACAAAGCACTTGTAAGATGATTTATGAATTCTTTTTCTATCGTTTCATGTAAACTGCATATCCAGCCAACTTGTTGATCTTGAAAAAGCTCAATAATTTTATTGTAAAGTCTGTCAAAGTTATTGTTTTCAGTACAACGTCTAGGAAGTAATAGTCTTCTCGAATTTGCTATTAAGATGTTAAAAGCATCTGGCCCATCTTGAGTTAAGTTTGGAGGATCCAAATTTTTATTATGAACAAGACAAAATTTAACCTGTCTAAAGCCCAAAACTTCTAACATTGCTAAATCGCCATTTAACCTATTGTCTACTTCTCTCCAACCTTCAACTTCTTTCTGTCTAATAAAAACCTTCACCTCTCTTCCATCATATTGTTCTAACATGATTGCATCAAAAAGGTCAAAAAATTGATTATTTGTGGACTCTATGCTCATTACACACTCAGGAATAACGCATTTGACACCCTCATTGACCTGAATCAAGAGATAAAGCATTCTTGAAAAAATTAATAATAGGTAAGTGTTCACTGGGAATTAACGATGAGACTTTTTTTTATAGTTGATGTACATATACTATCATTATTGTTCAAGCTGCATTATCGATACCATTTGAGTGCATGAGAGTGAAAACCTGCAGCTGCATATAATGATTTACTATTATAAGTTTCAGGTTTTCACTCTCACACACTCATTTTTGCTCCAATTTTAACTTTTTATAGTCTGTGATTTAAATTTTTTTCTTTTTTTGGTGATTAAAGAGTATTACAAAATAGGCTTTACGCAATTGAAAGAAGGATGAATTATTAATGCTAGGCATCATTGGGAAGGGTTTTTAACTCCAAAACATTATGCAAAAAGAATTAAAATTCTTCATATTTAAATTTTGTATGTAGCTGTTACTTCTGTGGCCCTTGACCATTTAAAATTTACTCTAGTCCATTGCTTGTCTCTTTATTTAAATTCAATGAAAAGTGAAAACTTGTTAAGAAAAACTTTATTACTGATATAGTGTCAGATAAGATTCACTTTAATTTAATATATCTTTTTTTTCAACTCTATACTAACGACACCTTCATTTATTTACAACCAATACCTTTGATCACACCCTCACTAGTAGCGCGAAAACAAGGTATCTATTTTCTTTATTATTTCTTGGGGAAAGAGAACCTATGGTTTAGTAATCCCAACCTTCTCTTTATACAATTTTTACTGTATTATGCTATGGTTACACACATATTTACTATATTATACTATTCGATTACATATTTTCTGCATTATGCTATCGCTATGTAAAACTACAAAAAGATTATACTCTTAAAATTTATATGTGCGACATATGTATGTGCATACGTACGTACTTACGTACGTATGATGCAAGAAATTTAAAACTTTAATCTCGATATAAATTATCAATCTCAATAAAGTAAAGAATCTAGAATTCTCATTTCTTTGAATAGAAATAATGCGCCAGGAACCATATGCACTTAATAGCAACTATACTATGCTTGAAGCTATTTTTTTTTTTTTTTTTTTATATTGCCAACGTAGAAACTTTATTTTTATTTTATTTTTAAAGGCTTTTCTCTAACATAT